GACTCTCAAATCATTGATGTTTCTATCTTCCTCTCTCCCTCTCCTTTCCTCTCTCTGAAATCAATAAAGATATATTTTTTTAAAAAAAATTATTTTCCTTTTCTGCAGTCACGACTTTAGACTGTGCTGTCTTCACTCCCCTTTCCCCCTGGGCATCTGTCAGGTCCCCTAACAACGTCCCAAAGTGCTATTTTTCTCGGAATGGTGGGCGAGTCGGGCTCGGGGGATGATGTTTTGGCTCTGAGGAAGGTGTCCCCATCTTGTTACCAGGCCTGGTGTCAAGATGTTGGGGACAAAAAGCGAGGATAGGAAAGGCAGAGTTCTTGTTGGGACACTGGCTTCACTTGGGGGGGGAGGGTGAAGGTCCACACTCCCTGGGACATGCTGGTCTCTCTGATTTCAGGAGGTGGGTGTGTAGCTGTTGAGCAGAGTGTGACCACCAGTGTCACCCTGTCTCTCTCATCACCAAGCACCACAGAGGGACCTGCCTCATGCCCAAACTCTTTCAGGGCTGAATATCTCATTACTTGACCCACTGATCCCTTGGTGCAAAACTCTGAGCCTTCTGCCCACCTCGGGCTTCTCGACGTGGAGTCACCAGAGCCTCCAACATTATCTCCCACCCACCATGAGTATATCTGAACTCAGAGTGGGGTGGGCATCTCCATTAACTGCTCCCAGGATGTTACCCACAGTCCACTTAATCTCTGCTGGTTGAGGAAATGCTGGAGTCTCCGTCTTCATAAACCTCCAGGACACCCCACACTTTCCAGGCCCTGGGAATTGGGGAAAGCTGTAATCCAGGCTTCCACCCCGGAGGACAAGCCTCTCTCTTCTGGATTCCCAACTGAGGGCTCTGAGTCCACCTTCAAGGACCAGGAGGTCGCAGTGGTGGCCAGTCCTGGGCTCTGAGGAGCCACGATCAACAGGTGCCCTTCACCAGAATGCCCTCATTCAGCCTCCGAAGCACCACCCGACCCCCGGCAGCTGCCATATCAGAGAGCGCAGGGTCTAGGGCCTGACTTAGGACGTCCCCACAAAATGTTCCTGTCATTTCATATCTTTGGTTTTGCTGTTCTGGGATTCTATTTCCTTGAGTAGCTCTAAGCTGTCTGACCTGTGCTGCATTGTCAGTATCCCACCCAGACCCCCACCAGAAACGGGCTTTCTAAAGAGAAAAATCTCTGAGTACTTTAGTGGCTAAGGGCTCAGAAGCCAAGCCTGAGCTAGTCAGAGTACAGGGGGCCATGTCCACAGGAGCCAGAGACCCTGATCCACACCAGGGTCTGGGTCCCTGAGCCCAAGTTCACTGCTGTGCCTGTGATCTGTGCCGGCATCAAAGGGATCAGTGTTCTTCATGGGGCAGCCGATTGCTGGGACCATGCTCCTCACAGCAGGGCTGGAGGCAGAGAAGATGGGCTTCGAAGCAGTTTGGCTCTATACTGGCTTTGGACCCTCTGGGACCAGACAGGCTGGAGACACTGATCTCTGCTTGTCCCTTGCTGTCCTGAGTGGGACAGGGAGGTCATGCTGATCCAGGGCCGGAACACGGCGAGTTCGAAGCAGGTGGGCCCACCCACCTTCTGTGATGCTCGCCTCCTGGCCCATCACAGAACAGTCCCTTCGGCCCCTGTGGCTGAGTCAGAGGAGCTGATAAGGTTGGAAAGGCCTCAGGGCCTTTCCTTGGTCACACAGGCTGAGAAGGAGCCCAGGACTGCTGGTGGGTCTGCTTTCCCTACGTGCTCTCTCTGAGGCCTCATAGACTGTCCCGAGCTTCATCTTCACTCAGGAATGAGGAGGAGCTCCACTGGGCAGACACAGTGGACAGGGAGAGAGCAAACCCACCCAGCCATTCACCAGCTGGAATAATGGGACACAGATACAGCCAGCAGCAGATTTACAGGACACAGAGGTTCTCTCCAGGACAAGGGTCATAGCATCCCCTTCCTCTGAGCGACTGCTGCTTTCTTAGTTTCGAGACTTTTTTCTTTAAATCCACAGACTATCAGAAATACAGTGTCTGAATTATATCAGCAAAAAAGAAACATTTATTTTTGCCTGAAGGATGTGAGTCCCATGTACACAGAACAGCCTCGATTCCACCCTGGGCACAGAGCTCTGGATAGCGGTCTGGACACAGCCTTCTACGTCTGCCTCGCCTTGCGCCTTCAAAGAACACAGACATGAGTCCTTTCACACTGGGGCCTGGTACACTCCCTTTCCACACATCCCCTCTGCTTTGGGCCCATTGAAACACTGCCTCACTTAAATTGGGCCTAAACATTACTTGTGCCCCAATTCTGACAATAACTCTCTTCCTTAGTCTGGTGAGACACCCACAGCTCCTGGGAGATGGTCTCCCTCATTGCAATAAGTCAATCTGGTGTTGTCCAACCTCAGAGTTGTTTCTGGTGGTTCAGGCTGATGGGGCGAGGACAGGTGAGAATAAGTAATGGGTCCTTGACAGTTGACCCTGATAGCAGATCCAGGTACATCTTGATGTTCTAGATGAGTGGTTGACATTCTCGTGGCTGCCCTGTTTATGTTCAGTCTCCTCCTTCACCCGAGCTCCTGGGCTGCTGTGCTCAGTTGTCATTTCAGGCTGGCCCCAAATGCAAGGTCTGTCTGGAGTGGCACATCCTTTGATACCAATGACCTTGGCAGTGAGGCTAGAATTGTTTTTTTTGCCATGTTGTTTAAGAGGGGGGTAATAAATAGCACCATCTTTCCCACTTGAGTTATGAACCAATTGATAATTAAGACAAAGTCTAATTTTTATTGCTTACTGATAAGGTTATTACTGGTAAAGATGATATTGAGAGTGTGGATTCTTTTCTGCAAACAAATGAAACACAGAGTAAGACCATGAGACTCACAGTCACACCCAGTTACAGGCAGTTCGGGACTGTCACAGCCTCCTTGCGTGAGGATGAGCCTTGTGAAAATGTAAGTCACGGAGGTGCAGGGCAGAACAGATGCTTTCTCCAGTTCAGCCGGCACCCTACGGAAGGCAGGTAAGGAGTGGCTGGGCCACACAACCCCAGATTTTAAAAAGTAGGATGACCACATAATTTATCATAAGGTATGGCACCTTTGAGAGTGGAAGGCCAATAGGTGTGCACCAGGAGGTGTGGTCTTCCTTGCATTGAGCAGATGGGTGAGGGTGGAGAAAAGGCCAGGTGTGTAACAGAAGGGAGTACGGGGGGGGGG